ATCCCCTACTTCGCTTATAATTCTACTGAGAGTTTAAGCAAGTTGAAATATTTTGTAAAAATTTATTTTTTTATTTAAATAAGAACAGCTGTTTCCTTAAGTAGTCCTAGACAATTTCAGCTTACCGACTTCGCATCAATGTTGATATCATTGTTTTCTATTTATATAGCAACAAAAAAGCCCTCACAACGGATGAGTTTTGGATTTTATAGAGCAGGTAAGGTTTTTTTTTTCAAAGTGCAAATATGCTACTTTTGAAATACTTACTACTTTAGAGCACACAATTGTTGGTACTCTTATATGCACCTACAGCAAAATACTCCCAAAAATTAATTTAAGAATTGTTTGAATGTTTTCGGAAAGAACTGCAGCCATATGTTTTCAAATGAATCAATGGACCGATTATTTATTTACTACTTTATGAAGTTAATGCATGCTCAGTCCGTTTTTGTTGTTAAAATTCCTGAGTACAGTACCTCAACTGCTCAAAAGTACAATAGTTTCTTGTCAACAAAACTGAGAACCTCCTTGTTTATGAAAGAAGTGAGCGGATTATGTATCTTAACTGACTTCGCAGATTATTTTGCTGAAGTTGTACGATGTTTGATTTTTGACTGAAAACCCTTTTTGAATGTTCTATGTACTACTATACAATTTCACTAATGTACACGTGTTTCAATCGAGCTTATAGTCAAATCCTTCTAGAATGCCAACACAAAGTGTTTTTCACGGCTGCAATCAGAAGCGCCTGTCAGTTTTTCTTGCCTCTTTGTTGGCGCCCTGATAGCTGATAACTGATTCAGAATAATGCAAAACTTTGAAAAAGCCTACCTGACATCAACTCCACGTAGACTAACTATAATGCACTAAAGCTTTTTTACAGAAGTTCTGGGAGCATTTTTCTCAGTATTTTTGATATGGATAGTTACTGGCGTACTTGTCGTAATGGCAATAATGCGAATGATAAATAGAGATTACGAAATTGACTCAACAGTTATGGCTATAACTGCAACGATTGGGGTATGCGTGAATTTGATGTAAGTTTTCTTGAATTTCCACCATTTAATCTTCAAATCAGCTATTTAATTTAGAATGGGGGTCCTTCTCTATTTTGGTGGTCACTCACACTCACATCTTGGTGGTGGCCATGGCCATGAGGATGCAGAGCATGGTATGATAATCAACTTCTACATTAGTCCTCAGGGTGTTTTAGAAAATTCATTACCTCATCCCTTTATCTCAAATTCTGTGTGTCTGGAGCAGAGTTATTGGTATTTTTGACAACTTATTACGTTAAATTTCTTGTAGCAGCCATGGTTCCATAAAATTCGTACAAGCTTAGCTATTAGCCTAATTTACACTTGACCAAACCCATCATAGTTTTGATCTTTCACAAGATATCTCTAGCTTCAGGACAACAATCAGATGAAGAGCCAAACATCAATGTCAGAGCGGCTTTTATACATGTTTTGGGTGACCTTATCCAGAGTGTTGGTGTACTGATTGCTGCACTCATCATATATTTCAATGTGAGTACCATTTTCTTACTTTTATCCATTTTTCTAGAAATATTTGCTATGTTCAGGAGGATTTGCTTATAATGGATCCAATATGCACACTTATCTTCTCTGTTATTGTGCTTTGCACAACAATTTATATACTAAAAGATGCAATGGTGGTGCTGCTCGAAGGTTCTCTAATTCTATTTCAAAATTAATAGCTGTTTGAATAACTTCGGTTTTCTTAAAATGCATCTTTCAGGCAGACCTAACACTATCAACTTCTCAAATGTGTTTTCATCTTTGGAGCAAATTAATGGTGTTAAGAAAGTACATGATTTGCGAATATGGGCTCTCACCATGGACAAGGTATGGTGACCGCCAGTTTACGTTTTTTCCTAGGTTTCGTTCATTTTTATTCTTCTACTGACTTACCCATAAAGTACCCAATCGTACTGTCCCCATGCTATTTTTATCTCATTTCTCTCTCTACGATCTTATTATTCCCAACTCATCTTCTCACTTTAAGTCGTTCATATTCTAGCTGGCCGTCTCCGTACATCTGGAAGTAGCCGAGCCAGATAGTGCACAATCTGTGCTACGAGAAACAAGAACAATGCTGCAGAAGGTCTATAATGTTCACGAAAGCACCATTCAGATCGAAGGATTTGTCGAAAAAGATTGTGGACGCTGCGATGTGCCTAAGTAATACATTGCACTCATAATTTCTCTACCAAATCTCGAGAGGCTTTCAAAACTCAACAACGGGAATGTTCATTCACTTACTTTGCTACGTTTTGCTTATTTTAAATGCAATAAATTTTACTACGTATGTCTAATGTCTTGAGGATGAACTCTTCAAATCGTATGGAGTAAAAATTTGATAAATATATGAAACTGTGTTTTTTAAAAATGCCTTGATGTTTAGAAATGACGTGGACCCAAGTGATAATTGATAACTATTACTTGCCTTACTGTTGTTTATCTATAACAGAGGCACATTATCAAAACAGAAGGATTAGAATTTGTTAAAAAATCATAGTCGACGTCATATTGATGAAATCACACAGAATTTTGTTTTGCAACATCGGATCAAGCAGTACGCCAACAAAATACTCAAATACGATTGCAAAACATTCCAAGGAGGTATCTGGAAAATAAAATTACAGGCTATTAAACTAAAGATTTCCCTTTTTGGATGAGTGAAATTTGAAAATGATTTAGAAATTTTTTTATGTCTGACACTAGCCAATCTAACTGGATGAAGATATTGCAAAGTGAATAACAACTCTCCATTGGACGGTAGTCCGGAAAAATTTCTGCTTCGTGTTTGCAGTAGCATTAC